ATATATATATATATATATATATATATATATATACTATCATAAAAGCGCATCGATGCATTCCGCAAGCAGTCTTTATATAAATAATATAAATATGGAGTAAGCGACTGAAATAGTTTCAGATGTTCATTCTGACATGACAAAGTATGCAGATGGCTCATATAAAAAAATACCCAAAAGACATGGCCATACTGAAAAGTGCAGGAGAATGCAAAATGTGCAGAAATAACAGTGCTTCATATAAAGATGACGTGATATGATACTGATAAGTGGAAACGGTATACCGAATAACCCGTGCTACTCGCTTTGTACATATGCGTGAGAACTTGCTAAATTAACTATTATTTTCATGAAAATGAAAAAGAGAAAAAACCTGAAAATCATAGTCGGAGTTGTAAGAAGTCGTTGGACTAAACATATGGTCGAGTGGATCACGCGTGCTGATCAATTCCGTTTGACTAGCCGAATCACTGAAATGTGCTGGTGGTGGTGTACCAACATGAAATACCGCTCCTTTCGGTACTATCATTGAAGCAAGTTCACTGGTCGATTTTTGCGCTGCTTCGCATGCCTCGGACATCGTAATGCAAGGTTGCTGCGACATGTGGATTCCATCCAACGAAGAAACCTGCGTTAAGTCTGTTTGTTGAGTATCTGCATTTGTAACATTATTGATACGGTAATTTGGATGCGTTGAATTAACGATATGAGGTGCCGTTGGACAACACCCATGTGTACCTAATGTCGTTGTTAGCGCTGTTTCCAAATTTTCAAATTTCGCTAGCGGAGCTGAATTCGTTGTCGAACTACCACCATCCAATATCGCCGTATTGATACCGCTGCATATTTGGGTAGCTGCTGTGAGAACATTTGACACTGCCTCATCGCTGCTTGTAACATTTGGTGATGCTACCCCAGGATGATTCCCATCTTCCAATTTTGCATTTCCTCTTCCTCCGCCTTCTCCTGCACTGGTTATATTTTTCATATCTTCCAATGTATGCTTTGTTGTATCATTGGCAGGCACAGCTCTCTGTAGTAAAATGTAATTTTGCACTAACGAGAAATATAAATTTCTAAATATTTGAGTTACTGAGTATCAGAAAGGACTGGAAAAACAAAATGCATTAATGGGAATGAAACTGCCCGAAAATCCAAAATTTCAAACATGAATAATAAGCTCATTCTCTATTATAGAATTAATGTGCCCAAAAAGGAATTTTCGGTACAAATTAATTCAGTTTCGTGTTCAAAAGAAGATAATCCCCGAAATCCCATACTAAATACGGAGTGAAATTATTGCTAATTCACCAAATGATATTCAGAGGATGCAACTAATAAGACACAAGCAACACCGTGAAGGGCTGCAGCAATAAACTGGTAATGCTGCTGCCACTGTTAAACAGAAGCCTCTCTAGAAAAGCACAAGAAGCAATTCGATCAGAAAGAATGCTTAAAATATTACGATAATGCAAAGAAAAAAAAGTGGCTTTATCAATTAATCAAAAAAAATTGAAACGAATGGACCAAAACTTATTACGGAGCTTCCACAATAAGCTCAAGTGAAGAAATATGCAAAAGGAAAGAAACAACATGCGTCTTCAGTTTTCCTCAACCCCAAAGAACTTAGACTGACAAAATATCAATGTTTTGTATTGGACACATGTAACTTCCGTCTAGCAATTATACCTCTTTCTTTAATTACGAATTCCATTTTTATACCCGATGTTTATCTATAATGTATTCTACAGAAAAAAATATATTGACTGCACAACAACAAACAATAGAAGTCTGCTGGAGTAACTTACCCTATCCGCTCCAGAACTGATATCTTGCAAACTTGTAACAGCCGCATGAAGCATATTGGTTGTACTTGGTGATTGGTGTTCAGCAGGAAATGGTGCGATATGACTAGCAATATCAACACCTAGTGGTGGCACAGAACCAGTTTCACGAGGCTCAACATGAATTACCTAAAAAAGAAAGGCAAATTAATTCGCAAAATGATCCATAAGTATTCATTAATTCATATAATGGAAGAACAAATGATGACCTTCTGCAAAGCATCAGCAAGTTCATTTAATGTATCAACGTGAAGGATTCCGGCTTCCGGAGTAGCACTTGTTTTGCCAGGTGTTATCGTTCCAGACACGATATTTGATAGTGTTGTAGGTATTAACGGTACTGTCGAAGCAGTAGGTAAACTAGGTGTAATTGCTGGGGACTGCGGTGTTTGTGTTACTGGTGCAACGGTTTCGTTACTCTGGTAAGCAACTTCTTCCATTTGTTCGCCCTGCATTTTCTGACTCAGCGCCAACAACTTATCATTTAGATCGGTCAAGTTATGCGTCAAATTGTTACATACGGACGGCGTATGCGGTAAAGACGCACATGGTAATGAACCTTAAAAAAATGAAATATCTGATGTATTTTTCAAACTATCAACGACCAAGCTATCAAGATCAGAGAACAGCCCAAACGGTCAGTACTATCCATTAGATATAGGGGAGGCAAAGTTCGATTCTATGCAGAGCAGAATCTCGAAATTATTTAGTCATGAGGTTTGGTTGCGGTTTCCGGTGGAATGGATCCCATTGGAAAGCGCAACTGAACTGCATGACTAGATAATTTCGATAGCCTTATTCGTTCTCCGAATAAATTTAACCGAATTTTGAAGAATGGTGGGACTTTCTCTTACCTCCAGAGACTGTAGGAAGATCAGGCGGAGGAACCGATCCTGAATTTGTCACATTCGGAATATTGTTCGGTGGATTTACGCCGCTTACTTTACAAAGCTCACTTTCCAACTTTTCGAGAGTCGTACGTGATTCACCACGTGCCACATGCTGCAGAACTGCTGTCGGTGCATTCACAGTATGCGATGGATTAATTGACGGTGCCGACGTACTATTACTAACGGCAATTACGATCGACGGAGCATCCTTCACCTTCAAAATTAGATGTGCTTCAATTTTCAATAGTACAATAAGCCAAATCTAAAAACAGCACTTCTGTGAAAAGGTTGGTGCTACAAAAAGTAAATATTTAAAACAGCAATTGAACCACTTGGAAAATACTTACTTACTTCACAAAAGCACGAAAAAGTACGTAAAATTAAAGAAAGGTATGTGAAAATGGTTCTTTTCGAATACTTTAAGGAAAAGTCTAAACAATTCAATTTTACAGATACATTTATAGCGGTGGTAGGTTGTTGAACTGAAGAACTAATTGATGACTGGAAATCAAACTGAAAAGTACAGCCCTGCGAGGTAAACACTAATCTGAGGTTCGCTAATGAGACTATTATCCATATGACCGACTGCCATCGTAGTGATTTCGCCAATAGAAACAGCAGTAAATGGCATTGGTTGCGTCCAAAGCCAATAAAAATCCTCGAAAATATTACAGAGATGACGATGACGCTCAGTTATCCAGACCCACTAAGAACATTGAATGCCCATCTACTGGAAATTCTATCTGTTATGTTGCAAAATGAAGAAACAATGCACACCAATCAAGACTGAACAATACAGAGTAGTCCTCTAGTCCACTCGACTAAATCATTTCCTTTGACAGACCCCAGCTGCTAACGCATAAGCTCATTTTCCCACTTTCTCTAAATTTAACAATGAAAAAAAAATGGCTGATTGTTATAGGTCTGACAACTTGATGAAGATAGACCAGAAAATGTAGTAGGTAAGACCTGATTAGCTCCACCTGCAGCTGCCTGCTGTGATATTATTGTTGAAGAGATAGAAGTCGCTATTGCTTAACAGAAGACTGTGCCAACAAGCTTGCAGTAGCAGCTAACCTCTGAAGACCTACGAGAAATAACAACTGAAACTACTGAAAGCGCTTATTCAAGAAACAAATCTAACAAAAGGAGAAGAACTCTACTACTAGTTCTAGAAAAAAATACTGGAGATAGAAAGAAGTACCCACCAGCTTATCTTCCAAATCTCAACAGCCTTTTATTCCAAAGAATCTTTACAACTATAATAAGATGGAAGCAGTTCAACAATAGGATAACTTCCTCATTTCTCATTCATCAAAAATTAAAAGCAATAAACCACTGCCTGCACTTACTGTGTTTTCTTGAAAATTGGAATTAAGCGACGGAAGCGTAACTGAACTACTAATATCAACAGGCAAAGTTGATTTGGTAACCAAGAAACGTGATGTCTTGGTTGTTGCGGTTGTTGGGACGAGAGCTGGAACAGGACTTGTAACACTGGGAGTTGTTGTCGTGTTTGATGCAGCTGCATGTGACAAAACTGAAACTGAAGGTTGTTGAGTTGAAGTTGCTGGAAGTTGTGCGGTCCCAGGTAAACTCTGCAAAACAGAAGCAACTTATTCCGACGAACTTGAAATAATGGATTATACGTTAGTGTCTGATGTCTAAAAAACAAGAGCGATATGTAAAACAGGAATAGAATTAATGAACTTTTCTACCGTTGAACTTATCGTGTTATTTGAAATTCTATACAATTACATAGTATTATAATTAAATTACAATCATGATTGATCTAGGTGTTACTTCCACCACTATTCCCACTTTATGACTTTCAAAGCTCAAGGATAATTTTACAGAAAGTTACAATGGTTTCGAAAAGTTCCAAAAAGGACATAAGTAACCCACCGACTGTGAGACAGTAGAATTCGTCACCGTTTGATCAAGCGACTGATTTTTCAGCGTTGATAGAGGTTGAACAGCCTGAAAATTCTGCACAGAGGATGTAGCTGTTAACATTGTGTTTGATTCACCAGAAACATCCGAAGCGATGGGATTCGAAATGTTTGACTGGCTCACTGTTGTTTCGACACCCGCATTTGCTGATGTCGAATCCACAAAACTAATAATTTTCACACCAACTGCTTTTACTGGATCAGCCACAATCATCTGGAAATGAAAAATATGAACGATAGTACAAAACAGTCTTAATATCTAACTGCAATTGCAATTACCATAGGATTGATAGCACTGAGGAGATAATTATATACATATAGCTTTTGTTCATGTGAGAAATAAAGATTGACTGTAACCTGAATAATTTTTTCGAGCTGATCTACAACAATTCCTACTTGCGGACTCGTTAAACAATCTTGATCCAGCTGAAATAAACCGAAAATTTCAAGTGCAACTAGGAAGATGGATAGAAGGATGAGTACGGAACTTTTTCCTACGTTTGGTCCTTGGACCCGAGAGTTTCTTCCCTCGTCCATTCCCTTTTCTCTTTTCTTTTTCTATTATTCCCTTCCCTTCCTCTTCCCCTAGAATCATACCGCACTGATTGTCACTTTTAGGCTGTGGGGATCCGAAATCTCGGACTGAAAACCCTACGTGCTGTGCAAACGATGTGTTACCTTAATATGCAAGTTTGCCAAATTTTCTTACGGGGAAATTCATTGCGGTTTCACACAGCTACCTAAGTTATGAATCACTTGTTTACATTTCTCGTTAACGGATAAAACCAAAAGACGCACCAATTTCTTCGTAATCACGGATGGCTTGTCAGAATCTGGTGCAAACTGGAACGTAACTGTCTTATGCGATGTATCAAGACGACAGTTAACCAGCTGGAACAATTTTTACGGAAAATTTAAGTAAACGAAAAAATTTTGCCCTAACAAGTAGCATTGTCTAACACAGCATGTATATGTGAAAGATATTCATAATTTGGTGAAAAACTTCTTTCGTTATCCGAATAAACCAGATTAAAAATGCTTAAATAAAATTTCAATAACATTAAAGTCCTACAAATTCGAATATATTTAAATTTATCAAAAACTGCTCACTGGTTGCTGATTAGTCTCATCCGTAACGACGCGAAGCACTTCGATCACAACTTTTTTCTTCGATTTCTTGTGTTTCACGGATCCATCATGATGATCATCGTTTTCCGGTGATGCACTAGCTGGCTGCTGCTGCGATAGTTGTTGTGACTGTTGCTGTTGTCGCAACTGTTGCGGTTGTTGCTGCGATTGTTGCGGTTGTTGTTGTACCTGTTGCTGGTGCTCAAAAGCCGCAGCAGCTTCGCGTTCCTAAATAAAACGAAAATTCTGAAAACTGTATAAAATGCATCCATAACATCAACCCAATCTCACTGAAGTTTATATTATCATTAAAACATGAAGGTTACGTATTTTGTCATTATTAAAATAAGCTAATAAACCATTGACTCGATACTTAAAATTTTGGATTACATGTTAGATTACGTTAGGATGTGTAGTCATCAGCAATGGGACAAGTAAATATATTTCTCCAACTGTTATTAACAAATGCTTTACCATCAGATAAGATGTCAACTATTCCCTCAAATCTTTGTTTGTCAAGAATGCTTTCTCCCATATTTTTACATCAATTATCTCAAGGCTTCCTTTCCTTCCGAAAAATCTTTTCAGTTGGTAACACCAGCAGCTAAAACTTAAATTTGTGCTGCGACAACGGAGGGAGATAACAGATGGTTGCAAAAATGCAGGCGAAATCGAGCTACAATTTCAAAATGCAAAAAATTGAAATAAAACCGAAAAGTTGCTAAAGCAAAATCTATCCAAAACGATGTCGCCTACCATACGCTCTTTCTCTCGTGCTCTCAGCAGCATTTCACTACGAATTGCTTCTTCCTCTTGCTTTCTTTGTTCCTCTTCCCGCAAACGTTTCAATTCCGCATGTCGAAATTCGCGATCGCGTTTGAATGCTTCAACCTAAAATTTGAAAACTACTGATACCTCAGCAGATACAAATTACACATTCAAGTGTATTTTAAGATCCTGAAAGATTGAATTTTCGCACATAAAATAATCAAAGCAGACCTTATCCTTGATAAGTTTCGTAATCATGCGCGTATCTTCTTCAGGAATATGCTGCTGTTCAATCATCTGTTGCACTACTTCTTCTGCCTTATCAGTTTCAATATCAAAAGCAAATTGTAACCCTTCATTTTCTTTAAAACGATATTGCTTTCGTTTTTCTCGTCAAACACTCTCAACTGCATTTGAATCTGGAAGGTTTTTAGTGCCTGTGAAATAAATTTAGATCAAACCAATTCCACAGCATAACATTAAGTGCATATAAAGTGACGTAGTCTGAACATTATATACCACAAAAGGCAAATAAATTACTTCAGAATTAACATCACTGAGATCTGCATCTCGATTTTTAATTTCAACCCGTATACCGATCAGCTCTTCTGGCGTGAAGAAATCATCTGATAACAATTGTTTCACAGTTGACCTTAAAAATATTAACGTGACACGGTGAGAGTTAATTATCCAAACTTCAACACTTTTTTTGGCTAAGTGAATGAAATAAAATAGCAACTAGTGATTAGTAACTCAGATAACTTGTTTAAAAAAATTCAGCAATAAGGGGAAACAATAAGTATTCAAAATGTTTCACACCTTTCTTCACGACGAACCCGTATACATCGATCAATAATCTCCCGAATTTCAGGATACTGTTGGGGTATTCTGCTGAAGCATTCTGGCTTCACACCCTACAGCGACCAATAATCACTTTACAGAATCTACCCATATAAAACAGATCCATGCATAGGTTTATCGCAATATTAAAACCTGCTTACGGATGGATGAGTAAAGTTAACAGTTACCCTTACTTCCAAATTAAGATTAAAATACTGTACTCGTGAGTAAATGCTTGAACTTGCTTAAATTAATTGGGAATATTTTAAACCCATGAAATACAATGCCGATGCCACCAAGATTACGATTAAAACAGCATACCATAAGAAGAGAAACCTACTGTAGTAACTTTGCGATAAATTTGAGCAGGAAATTGACACTCGCTATACGGATATTCACCAGTAACCATTTCCAGTAAGCACATTCCAAATGCGTATACATCAACGCTTTCATCATACATTTCTTCATACATTTCAGGCGCCATAAATTCTGGTGTTCCTAGAAACAATCTCATTACGACAAACGTCAATGATAATAAGCCGTATCCCTTTCATCAGAAGCATCTTGGATCAGCAATGATAGTAAAGTGCACTCTTTGGATTATAGATAATTCATTTTTACGATTCAACAATGAAAACACGAATCAATTCATCAATGTTGATCGACAACAGTAATAAAATGCAGAAATATTTCTTACCAATAACGCTTTTGGCGTATGATTTATTTTTCAGCGTTGCCAATCCCAAGTCGCCAATTTTAACACTTCCCGTTGTGCCTGTGATAAAGATGTTATCACATTTGAGATCTCTATGAATTACCGGTGGATTACGTGAGTGAAGAAAAGAAAGTCCCTTCAAAATTTGCCGACACCATGACTTCAGTACCTGAAAAACAGTTGTTTTACCAGATACTTTTACTGATACTCACTCTTCTTTCCCTTTCCTAACGGTTTTCGAAAACAGTGCCAAGTTTATCCTTCACAGCCAATCGATAACAATCCACTTCAACAAATATATCTGCCTTACTTCTTGTGACTATCGACTGGTACATTTTTACTCTAACCTTTATGTTTATCCGTTTGAATCGTTTCAGATACATTTTTAACGTTCCAGATGTCATCAGCTCTGTCACCAATACAATGTATCTAAACACCATTAATTATGCCAGTATACTAATGCATGTATAAAAAGAAATATCAAAAAAAGTCCAAGAAGGTGAAATGAGAGTGATTCAATGATATGAAATTTCTCTTCACCTTAAAAATCATAATTTTTACACCCCGGAACTTGTAAATTCCATAAACTATTTCTTGCGGTTATGCCGAAACCATATAGACAGCATTACATTTACTGCCCTGTGTTAGCAGTATGATGAATCAGAATTTGCAATTCGCAACAGAAAACCATTTGCTCCAGATTATTTTTAAGGCATCTGAAGTTTATCTGTCACGACAGAGATGCAAAAATAAACTCATCCAAAACATGTCGAAAACAACAAGGGATTACCTTTTCTTGCCAGCATGATCTTGTCTTTCCCAATAATCGTAGAATCGCACAATATTTGGATGTTGCAAACCTTTCAGCATTTCAGCTTCCTCCCGAAAACGTTGTCTTTCTGCCTGAACAAAGCATTCCGTCAGGGAAGAAAAGATCAGCTCGCAGCATCAAACTGGATAATACTGAATATCATGTAATTTCAACCCATTTTTTCATTTCAAAAGTTAAATATACAAATTTATTTTTTGAGATAAATTATCTTTCACAGCAAGTAATAGTTGAAGATATTGTAAACGAGAGCCCTACATCTATAAACTTCGAAGTTAATGCCATAAAACCATGAATAAAATTAAGACAAAGATGCGAAAAATCAACCAATTCTACCTCCAAAAGCTACTTAGAAATATTACGTTAATGCAAACAGTGTTTTAACTGATGAAAGAAGAATTCCACTATGATTGAACTTATATCATTTACCCAGATAGTGCATGCGATGGAAATCATACGACTGTACGAAGGGGTTAAAGTTTTACAAAGATTCCTGATCAGCAAAGGTCATGCGAACCACCAAAACCTAATGCAAACATAATTTCAGAAGAATCCGATAGAAGGAAATATCTGCGCATGACCTGCTCTATTTGTTCCCCAGTGAAAAATACAAACTAGCCTTGTTCAGCTTACTCTCTTGAAGTTCACACCATGCAACCGCAACTCCTGTTTCCGTATCCAAACCACGGTAAACAGTTTTGAACGATCCACGTCCCAGCTCTTCGTCAAATTTCAAAAACCGTCCATCTAAAACAAATTATATGTCAAAAACTTACATGGAGGAACAATCAAAGCATCAACTTCAACAAAATGAGTACTTTTCTACCAGATGTAAATGTTTTACTTCTTAAACTTTCTACCTTAAGCTCATCCCAAGTTGCGGACTATTACCCTGAAGTCAAGCGAATTACTTTACTGTTTATTCATCTCACAAATTCATCTTAGAAATTACGGAGCTGCAACACTTACGAAAAGAAACCAAAAATTTAACACAAAATATCCACTGTTACCTGGTGATTTGTCGATAGGCTTCTCCTCCTCCGCATCGACGTCATCATCCACGACCTCCCGCTGCTTTTCCTCTGCTCGAGCTAACTACAAATTAATTCCAAATGTTGAATATCAGAAAATTTGTAGAATGAAAGATGAGTCATAAGTCAGAGGTTCGAATGATATAAATCTCTCTCTGTAAAAACAGAGCAATAATTTAGACGTATAAACCTACGCAGTATAAAACGATAGTTATGCAAGGTATAAAAAATGATACTATGGTTAGAATGTTTTATACTATCGTGCCATTTTCCTGTATTTGAAGAAATCTTGGTATAAGGTCACAGTAATGAAGACATACGTACTTCATCTTTCTTTTCATTTTCATGTGACGGCAAAAGCGACGGAGTTTCTGAAATTACTGCAGTGTTCTCCTCAATTTTCTCCTTTTCATCTTCCTCATTTACTGTTTCGTGGATCTTCTTGTCAATTCCTTGAGGACCGAGCTGTATTGCAAGTGATGAAACAGCTGGGATTCTGTAACAATCTTTTTTTTCCGTTATTTTCATTATAGTATATAGAAATGAAAATAAGGAAAATATTCTCCACATAAAAGTAACCAATCGGTATCCATGATGTCTATCGGATCTGACCGGAAATGTGGACGGTGTTGCTGAGATTTGTCTCACCACGTGCCGGTTATCACTAGTTGTTTACTTGCTACCGACACGGAGAACACCCATCACAATGTTTCCATTTTATACAAAGTGAATGGTTTAGCCATTTTAATCCATTTGCTAGTTAAGGACTGAAACCTCGAATTTCGTAAATGATTTCTACAAATGCGACATTTTCTTTAAAAAAAAAAAAAAAAAAACAACATCATGAAACCTATTTCGTTCGAACAAAGTTTGTTGATGCGCGGTTGCGTCGTTCCGTGCGACAGCTCCTGATGGCTTCGATGACTTGTCTACTGACGGTTGCCGATAACGGCTCCATGGCTAAATAACAAAAATTTACATATTTGTAATAACAAACAGTGAATAAAAACACACCACTGGTATGAAGAAATATCAAGAAATGAAGACATATTATTATGATGGATACTTCATACGAGGTCTATTTTACGCAACCTTATTATGATAAATGTGACGCAAAAATTTATTAGTAGCTAAAGTCGGGTCACTTGTTTTTCATACATCCTATTTATTTCGTTGTATTTTATTCTCTTCTACTATTGTTGTATGCATTGTTTCTCGATCCAAAAGAGAAATCTGTTAAAACAATTTACAGTGTTCTTCGACTTTTTTTTACATCAACATAGATAGTTCTATTAAATGCATATTGCTGCGAGTTCGAGAGAGTTGAAAATAAGCCCATCTGACTCGGACTCTTATCTATAACCTCTATAACAATTTTCTTAAAAATACTCACCATCGAATAATAAACAATGTTGCTAAAAACAAACCGAGTAAGGTTTGGCGGGTCTCGAAAGACGCCAATCCCGTTGTACAGCTTCCAATCGTGATCGTTCTTCGCCAGAAAGCCAATTCGAAGTGCCACTTAAATTGTATTTCGTAAAATTTCTAGATTAAAAACTAAATTTCAAGAAAAATTTATCCCAACCAACCTTAGCTACCAATATAAAACCGTAAATATGGGCTTAAATACGAGAAACAGCATCATCGACAATGCTAACAATGAACATTTCCAGCAAGACAGGATTTTTTTTCAGAAAAATTTAGCTGAAATTTCAACATGAAATCTCACTCCAGACAAATGACACATGTATCCATATTGAAGCTGATTAAAACTTCAATTTTGATAGAAATTTAATAAAAACTCTGCTGTTATTTTGGTACGTCGAGTCTAAATTCCTATAGTATTTTATAGCTTGGACATACACCAATCAGACATACGACAAAAATCATGTTACTTTGGTAAATGCTACAGCCAAGCTTAGTAAAGACTGTTCAACCATTTAGTACAGTGTCTGCTACCAGTTCGGATTCCCTCATCTCTTGGCTGTTACATATCAGCACTGTGTCTCTTCGGTTTGCTCGGAACATACGGATGTGCTAAACTTTTCCAAGATAAAAAAAAGGAAAACCCAAGACCTAGCTAATGATCAACAAAACAGCAGATACGGAAACGACGAAAATGATTACAATGGAAATATTTGGAAAACAAGCAACGTTGCTGAAAAACAAGTTATTACAGAGTTGCAAGAACTTTTAGAAATGAATTCCTCTGGGTAAGATATCAATGATCCATACAAACGAACATGGATTCTTCAAATTTAAAAGTTAAACAATGAAGCAGGACGTTGAAAGCTTTTACTTGTTAATAAAAAACAGGTAAATGAATGCCCAAGCCATTATTAACGATAAAATTATTATTGAAAAACTCTCGCATATTAAAGCGTGGTTATGGACAATTAAGAGCAAACAGTACTCAAACAGTTCACCTCAATTTCCACATAATAACAGGAAGCGGTGATTATGGACTTCGAAATTATACCCATCAAATATTCAGATGAACCACCAATACTAACATCAACAGCGATGCGGTACAGATGTGTGCGCAAATCAGACACACGCACAAAAATACACAGATCCAAAAAGACGACAAACAAACATTATATCTGATTATTCATGCAATGGAAATAATTCTCACTTTCGGGAAAAGCAATCTTTTTTCTCTGAATTTTATCTCTGGACAGTTTTTTGAATGTGGTTTTCGAGTGTAATCTACATCATTCAAATAAACATTGACCCATCAAGGTGTAACGGTCTTATCAGATGGTTTGATGCAAGAAATAGGAAATAAATCACAATAACACCCGAATGGTAGAAAGAGTCTAGAAAAAAAAAGAAAAAAGGTTATTACAATGTTATCGTTGTTGCTGTCTATTATAGAAGATTATTAGGGACTTCTGTAGAATATTTCTCGGTAGTGGGGATGTGGTTTAAAGTCATCTGACGTCTTATAAATTCCATCCTGAACAACGTGTGCCTATCAGTGATACGCCATCGCCGTTACAGACATATTTTTCTGAGAGCGAAGTACGTGGTAAGAAATGAATGGAAACTGAGTTTACTTTTAAAATCAGTTTGCTAATTTCCCTTTCCACGTGCCAATAAATACATTGGTAGCATCAAATAATAGTTCACCGACTACAAAACAAAACCACTTTTTCACCCACTTAATAAGCATATTCAGTGGTATGACATAGAATCTAAACGACCATCGAGCATATGCAATTGTCATCACTTAGATAAGCGAAATTGACAGGCAATTATCTGATCAATTACGATGTTACTGGAATTCAGCAGGAGTTCGCATATTACTTGATTACACTTGATAACTTATACAGATGTTACTCATATTACTGAATAGTAATTACCCATAACTGATGACCAACTGCTTTATCGACAACATACCTACAACACACGTGCACACATACATCGATTCTATTTACAACCTTCGTTTTGTTTTCCACAGTATACACCTTCCAACAAGTAATTATTTGATAAACTATTGACATTGTTTTTTATCTTACCATTCGATTTTCTTTAAAGACGAGTCGCTAAAGATGGGATTGTATTCCATGAATGAACAGTAAAATGTTTCAAGAAATTATTGCAGAACTCGTTATGAGGTGCACCAATTCCATTTAGTATAAATATACTCAAGAGAAGAGCTTTTATTTACTGGATAAAAGTTTCAGCAGAACAAGTCGACCGCAAAAGCTATACTGCACCATTTAAACAACTTTCTCTCGACAATATTCCTGTCACCTGGGTAAAGATATTCTGGTAACTGTATAACGCAAAGGAAGTCAAATTCAAAAAATTTTAAATTTTAAAATATGGGAAAAAATGATAAAATCTTCCGGAGCATTTGCTGGTAACTTCAGGAGTCGAGGAAGCCATAAACAATACAAGGTTGTCAATTTTCTAAATAGGAATTCTGAAACTGATATAAAGTATTGTTTAAGTTAGGGTAGTCAATGGGGTAGTTAGGACAGAGCGCCAGCGAAAGAGTTTATATTTACTGCCTGCAGCAATAGAAGGAACAGTATCATCGTAATCCCGACGATAAGCAAAAAAGTAGGATCCTTAATACGTGATTCTCTGTGGTTTGAAAACAACTCGAACATTTCAGAAAGTGAGGTAAAATGATGATATCATCAGTGATGGAGAAGTGAAACTGGGAAAATATTTTTGGTTGTAACTGAGGCAACAGACCAGAATAAAAGCTGTTAACAGCTTAAAGTTTAGCCTTACCTAGAAAAAGTACGAGTAAATATGGTAGAATGGCAGGAGAGTCAAAAATCCAATCCGACTATCTAGAAAAGTTATTTCGTAGGTCAGGCCATTAAATAGTAAAGATACCAATTCTATAAATGACATTCGGAAACCACCATAGAAAACAGTAAGAAGAAATATGGGCCAGCCATACAGAAAAGTCCTCTATTCACAGTTACAAGCAGGAATGCATAGTAGAAAATTCGGCTATCTAGAAAAGTTATTTTGAGAAAAATAATACCACGATATCCAGAAACATGTGAAACGCAATTAGAGTATGGATGGATCACGGTTTCTCAAAAATAGATACAAGTAGATAAAAATTGTCATAACAGAAGAATGGTTCAGTTACCAATTCAGTGAAAGTTAAAGGTGGATATTTGATTCACTGATACCAAAATTAATTAAAAATGATCGTTAAAATTCAAAAAAGAATTCAAGTTCTTTAATCCCTACTGGGATTAGGATCAAAAAACATCAAATCACGCCTAATTGTTAATCATGAAATCGATACCAAGCTTAAAAGCAAACATGCAAGGATAAACTTAGGCCAATGAATTGCTTCTCATTCAAATTACAAATCGTGCTATCCATTACTTTGATTTGTTGACAACAAAGACTGTCCCACGCAATATTTTGGAAAACCATGAGTTTCCGAAAACTGTATCTAGTCTACGAGTATTTTAGATTCACTTCCATGCGTCCATTTAAACTTCACAGTTCTTTATCATTCGTCCAAAATAAAACATCAAACAACAATCCTTAACAAATCAACGGGGATAATCAAAAATCCCTATAGTCTCTCCCACAGAATTCTCGATTTATCCACTTCGCCAGACTGATACTTTGAATGGATTACGAATCAAGCAAAAATGAAATGCACTTCAACAATTTGGATTTCACACAACCAACCAAACAACCAAAGAATGTCACTTGCCGATGCGCAATCTTCCAGAAGACCAACGATCTGATTACTTTTTCCATCTTCTTGACAATTTTGATCAATAACAAATTGTTATGGGCAGTTCGCGACTTCAAACCGCTTCTTCGCCTTCAAAAGGAAGTCAGAAGCACATCTGGCAGAAGTTGTACATATCCATGTATTTTTAAAAAACATAAAGCACACAAACAAATTACGGTTAGTAAGCACGCAACTGTCAGTAAACCATCATTTCCAAAGTGGAAAAAGTCTGTCTATGGAAAGAAATGGATGAAATTACTAGAAAAAATGTGCCATTGGAAAGAAATGATCAATTTTTCTATTTCATTCATAGAGAGAACAAATATCGGATTCTGATAAAATAAAGAACAAGCGCGTTTGTTCTCCCAGTTTTGATTTCCTCAGAAGTTGCAAAGTATGAATATTTAAAGGGATAAATATCTCCACCAGAAACATAAAAAATAACACATCAATAATCATACCTTCCAAAGCTGAGAAAGGAAAAGTTGCACAAATGTTGATAGAACAGGACAAGAATGTGATCCAAACTGGGTTACCAACCATAAACTCTTACAAAATAGATTTAATTACAACAAAAAGGAAAAAGTTGTGGACAATTAACAATCTGAAATTGAAACATACTTTGCAACACGCATACCGCAACTCCGTTTCATCTTCGAGGCACACTTTTGCATGACAATGATATAATAAACTAACAAACGAGAGAGGAATTTCGCTGACAATTTCGCTTCGGTATGAAATTTGCATAATATGCAAATTTTAAAAATGTTCCAATCTGCGTCTCAAGAATATCATCATATGACGAATTCTCCTGCACATATGACTAAGACAACAATTAGTTCCCTTAACTAAGCAGTTTTTTTTGGGAATTTTCAGACAACAATCGCCTAAAGGTCAAAGAATCAAAACGAACAATAATTGTCCCAATAACTATTTGTGGCGAAGAGTTGTTTAGAAGTTAGCACTTGCAAAAACTGAACTCTTAATTTTTTATAAACGCAATGCTGAAATTTTCGAAGCTCTCGGGAAGGTGAAGAATGAAAATCATCCGAGTGATAATTTAAACCTGCTTGGCTGTACCAAACAACTATCCCACTTATAGATGTGCTTGGCTGTGCCAAAAAAATTGTCCCCATCTATCGATTTTTGTTGTCTGATGCAACAGGAACGGTTTAACCATCAAAATATTTTAAAATTCTTTCGTCAGTTCTATCGCACATGCTATACCACAAATTTAATGCGTTTGGCACGTACATTTAAAGTTGCTTTGCCCAGTGTTAATAATGTTTCTTAAAGTTTTTTAGAAATGAAATGTTTGGTTATCGAACGAACAGAAACAGCGTTCAGGAGCGACCATTGGGTACTTTTTTTCACGGTTAATCACTTATTCCTAACAGTAATTGCAACTCCCATTTCGCTGTTTAAGCTACTCGCTTTTAATTATATGAATGATATTAGTAGAACCTACACCAAAACACAGCAACCCTACCACGAAATGCCTTTAGTTCTTCCACAAGTACTCACACTTGTTGATCTATGGAACTTTCTGCAATTACGTGGATAGGTTATTTAGATTAGTAGTAGCAAATCACACCTGTCCATTTTGTTTAGAAAAAGCCGAAAGTTACTGCTACTGTTACCACGTTCTTGGCTCAATTTCCGGATTTTTAGATTTGGAGCACCTATATTCACTGTTGGCGCATGTTAAGGATAACATGACCATGTAATGAATTATATTTACATCAAATATGATTGGTAAAAACGAGAGCTACTTTTCCTGGAAATTAAAATGAAAAAGATGTTAATTAAGTAGGCTTCTTTAAAGGTTTCCATTTTTTTTAAGAGATTAAATTACAGTGTAAATAGATGAAATTCAGAGTTTTACATGGTCTATTTTTAAAATGACTGTGATACTATGTAGATGTGAATTATGCATAATAACCAGAAACCCTCAAAGCATTCAGGATAATAAGACGGCTTCGAAGCATCTGAGATAGTAATCACGAAAAATGTAGAATATTCAGCATCCAAACAAACAGGATACCTGTTTACAAAAAACCCACAACCATACAATGTTCACTGTTGGCATTGACGACAAGCGATTAAATATGAATTAGGTATTCACCAGCTAACCTGGCTACTGGTTCTTGAGTATGCGAATCTTCATTAACTCGACGCATAACACGCTTACGATAGCCGGGTTGCGTTGAACTGGTTTTCCGACATTCTGCTGATGCTTCCTTATCCCCCATTGTTGGAAGTGGTTAACGTGACAATCCACAAAAACTCACGTTAACCACTCGAAAAATTTCCCTATAACGAATCAACGCCGATTATTCGCCCCCGAGGAGGCGAACTGCAATACACGCACAACGTGAAAGCAATTAACGTTAGAGCCCACGACCTTCGGCTCTACACCTTTTCTTTTAAACCAGCATCATCCAGAACTGACGAACCTGAAGAAGTACAGGTTACTCGAATTTAAAGAAAAAAAAGCGACACACCCGGAATTGAGAGATCAACTTATATCATAAGTTTTGCGCCACGAAAAATCTTTCAAACATTACAACCTTCACGTAATATGAAATCCCATCACATATACAATGGAACAAAGAGAAATAAAAAGATCTAAACCAAAATGATGGTGTGAATATGGATATGGAAAAATAATATCGGAAAACAGATGAGGTCGTAATCTGTTATGCAACACTCGTCCTGCACAATCCTACCTTCGACTCTTAGTTATTTTTACATTACATTTACTGAACAACAAATAACACAAAGAGGTCAGCGTACTTTAGGAATTTCAGTGAATCAAACGTGCTGGTTACTGTAGTTGAGAAATTTCAATGACCAGCAGTCCTTTTTCTTCCTTCTCTTCTCTCTTTCTGCACCTCAGGAAATCCTAGGACAAACTTAAGCTCATCAATATGCAACCTACCAAAGAAAGTCTAAAATATTTTGCGGATATTCGTGGATGAGAAAGAGGGATTAGAAGCAACAGTTTTGCTGATATTCAGCGGGAAGCACT